GAGGTACCCACTTCTCCTATTATTACTTCCATAGCTCCTATTCCCACAGCTACTACTGATGTACCCCCTGAGCCGACGCATATGAGTTCTCCACCATTGAAGACACACACAAATGGTACTCAATCAGCGCAGGGATCAGGTACCGGGACAGTTCCTCAAACCACTCTTGCACAGGGGTTGTTGGCTGAGATCAGCTCAGAGCGACATAGTGTCAAGCATATGCTGATTGATCACTTTAAGAAGGACCATGGAATGAAAGTTGGATCTACCATGAGATTTGCTATTGAGGACTTGGTTTTTAAGCTCTTTGGAGAGGGACCTTCTGTGAGTAAGACTCCTACGCAGACACCTTCACCTAGTCCTTCTATCACAGCTCCTACACACAATAAGGTGAAAGAACATATACAGAGAGACATGGATGGCATGAGCCTTGGAAACTGCATGCAAAATGCGGAAGACGATGTCCCTACAGCAAGCAGGTCAATCTCCCACGATTCAGATGTCGTAGCACAGAACCCTAAACCCTAAACCCTAAACCCTAAACCCTAAACCCTAAACCCTAAACCCTAAACCCTAAACCCTAAACCCTAAACCCTAAACCCTAAACCCTAAACCCTAAACCCTAAACCCTAAACCCTAAACCCTAAACCCTAAACCCTAAACCCTAAACCCTAAACCCTAAACCCTAAACCCTAAACCCTAAACCCTAAACCCTAAACCCTAAACCCTAAACCCTAAACCCTAAACCCTAAACCCTAAACCCTAAACCCTAAACCCTAAACCCTAAACCCTAAACCCTAAACCCTAAACCCTAAACCCTAAACCCTAAACCCTAAACCCTAAACCCTAAACCCTAAACCCTAAACCCTAAACCCTAAACCCTAAACCCTAAACCCTAAACCCTAAACCCTAAACCCTAAACCCTAAACCCTAAACCCTAAACCCTAAACCCTAAACCCTAAACCCTAAACCCTAAACCCTAAACCCTAAACCCTAAACCCTAAACCCAAAACCCCAAACCCCAAACCCAAAACCAAAACCCAAAACCCTAAACCCAAAACCCAAAACCCTAAACCCTAAACCCAAAAACCCAAAAACCCAAAAACCCTAAAACCCTGAACCCTAAACCCTAAACCCCTAACCCCTAACCCCTAAACCCTAAACCCTAAACCCTAAACCCACCAACACTTTCTCTCTCTACCTCCAAAACGCTCTCCCTTCTCTCTAGAATGGGAGAAACCCACCAAAACTCCAATAAACCCGATCCACCACCAAAACCACCGGATTGCACCACCCCAAGTGGTGGAAAATCATCACCAACAACGACCCAAACACATCCTATAACACCAATATCAAATTCATCCCCCAACGCAATAGATCTAAGTTTGAAAAATCATGGCACGAATCCCAAGGTCGTCGAAACACCCACTTCTGATTAGAATTTGGACATGGGATCATCACCAATGAACTCAGAAGGCCCAAAAACCCCTAGGGTGGTGTCCTCGACGTCCAATTTGGCCGAAATTGAAGCATTGGAAAAAGTACAGCCCGAAACTGATTTTGAAATTAATTCTCGTACGATGGTCCAACAGATACACGCGCCAGATATTCAGAATGCCCATGAGATGGCGAACCTTCGGTCAAAAAATCACGGCAATCGGAGGTCGGACGCTCCTGTTACGGCACCAAACGTAAACGGGAAGTTTGTCGAAAAATTGCAATTTTCGGCCTCTACGGTTCTCACCTCGGGAAACGCGCCTGACCGCGTTATTCAACATGAAATTCCGCACAAGGTTGTTGAAAATCATAAATTTCTGCCTCCGGTTGATTTTGGCCGGAAAACGGAGCCGCTAGCGGCCGGCCGGCGGCGTCCCGGCGGCCCTCCGGCAACTTTTGATCAGAATGTTCTTCCAGTTAATTTGAATCCATTTTCATCATCGGTTTTTCCACATGAGGCCCATACAGTGCTCAATCAAGGCCGAAAGACATATGCTACTGCAGTTTCTAGCCGTCCGGGCCTATCTCAAGCTGAACGGAGTTCACGGAAGTCGTTTGCATCGGTTGTACAGGGTATAGATGACTCTTCCACTGCTGGGTTTCCTGCTAAAGAACCCTTTATACATATGGGTGAGCCGGCAATAGTTTTGACTGAGTCCGAGGAGGCTACACTCGCTGATCCTTACAAGTATACACTTGTGGGGAAATTTCCACATCGCAAGCCAATCATGAGGAAGGTACGTGAGATTTTTTCTAAGTTTGGGTTCCATGGTTGTTTCGAGGTGGGACTGATTGACACAACACACATTCTTATCCACCTTACACATGAGGAGGATTACAGCAGGCTTTTTCTTAAACCTTCATGGTATATTGATGGTTGTCCGATGAGAGTCCTTAAGTGGACATGCGACTTTACACCTGAGCAAGAGACTCCGATAGTTCCCGTATGGGTATCGTTCCCTCTGCTTCCAGTACATTTATGTGCGAAGGGGTTCCTTTTCGCCTTATCTGGGGCAATAGGAATGCCCTTGAGAATTGATGAGGCCACCACCGACTTGAGACGACCTAGTGAGGCAAGGGTGTGCATTGAGGTGAATTTGGAGCATAAGTTGCCCGACAGGGTTTGGATTGAGCGTGCTGGTAACCGTGGCTTCTGGCAGACAGTTATCTATGAGAAGCGGCCAATTTTTTGCTTTTCTTGTAAACACTTGGGTCATTCTTATGATCAGTGTACTACAGTTCCTCCTCCTCCTACAGTTGTTGTGCACCCCCCTGTTCGGCCCCCTATTACTAGGACTGATAAGGATAAGGGCAAGGTGACGTTTGTGGAGCCAAAGAAGCAGTGGGTTCCAGTTTCAGCAGTGCCTTCTGTGCTTCCCACTACTACTACCGCAGTTGTGACAGAGTCAGAATCTGCATCAATAGTTCCAACCTCTACTCGTATCACAGTTGATCCAGAGGTATCTCCGTATTTTCATTCAGTTGCTGAGCCTACTCCAAATGCTCCTATCGAGGTACCCACTTCTCCTATTATTACTTCCATAGCTCCTATTCCCACAGCTACTACTGATGTACCCCCTGAGCCGACGCATATGAGTTCTCCACCATTGGAGACTCACACAGATGGTACTCAATCAGCGCAGGAATCAGGTATCGAGACAGTTCCTCAAACCACTCTTGCACAGGGGTTTTTGGCTGAGATCAGCTCAGAGCGACATAGTGTCAAGCATATGCTGATTGATCACTTTAAGAAGGACCATGGAATGAAAGTTGGATCTACCATGAGATTTGCTATTGAGGACTTGGTTTTTAAGCTCTTTGGAGAGGGACCTTCTGTGAGTAAGACTCCTACGCATACATCTTCACCTAGTCCTTCTATCACAGCTCCTACACACAATAAGGTGAAAGAACATATACAGAGAGACATGGATGGCATGGGCCTTGGAAACTGCATGCAAAATGCAGAGGACGATGTCCCTACAGCAAGCAGGTCAATCTCCCATGATTCAGATGTCGTAGCACAGAACACCATGAGATTAGACGCACCTACGACTAGTACAATGAGATCAGATGCACCCGCTTTTCGCCCGACATTCAGTGCACCACCATCTGAACAGTTCTTATCACCAAAGCAGGCTCCTACACGCAGGCGAGACCCCTCTCCAACGAGTGAGCCAGACATCGCAGACTACTATGATCCGAAAATGTTTCAAACCAGACGCATGACTCGATCAATGTCTATGTACTACCACCCGAAGATTTACCCTCGGGAATACCCTTGAGTACCTTTCATTAGTTTTTGTTCGTGTCTTGTTTAGTGTGGTTTCATTTCATCTTCAAATATTTGTTACAATTTACATTTGCTGGAGGTCAGGTCCATGCCCCCCTCCTCTATTTGTTTTCCCGCTTTTCATTATATAAAATAAACCACACTAGTGGTATTTGCTTAAAAAAAAAAAAAAAAAAACCCTAAACCCTAAACCCCTGAACCCTAAACCAACCCTTACATTTTCTCTCTAGAGATAGGTGATTTTTGGAGATTTCTAGTCGCCCAAAATGGAACCCCATCCGGCTGCATTCCGACCACCATGGCCACCGGATCCGACCACCAATAGAACCACCTCACTCCCCTCTATAACCTACACCCAACCGCCGGCAATAAACTCGCCGGAATCTGATGAAAATCAAGCCCAAAACCCGAATCTGCCGCAATGTTTCTCTGTCGGAAATCACTGTTCCGGTGATACCCACGCCGGCGCACCACTGCCGGTCGATAGATCTCTTCCAGACGATCACAACCATGGTCGCCGTTCATCATTTGGAGCCTCCAATCGGCCGAAATTGCATCAGAAAGTTCCGCCTGAGCTGCCTGCCGAATTTCAATTTTTCGGTGTCTCCGGTGGGACCCACGGTCGCGGACCACCGGCGGTCGGTAGCCCTCCTCCAGACGATCACAACCATGGTCCCCACTCACCATTTGGAGCTCCCAATCGACCGGAATTGCACCTGGAATGTCCGCCTGCGCTGCCTGCCGAATCGCTGCCTCCCTTTCAATTTTCCGGCGCCACCAGTGGGACCCACAGTGGCGGACCACCCAATTTCTACTCCTCTCATCATGGGCAACATCCACATCATATGGGTCTTCATCAATTTTACCCCAATCTCGCAAATCGAACGGATTCAATCCATCAAGGTCAAAAGTCCGATTCTCTCTTAATTGACCCCACAAATGTGTTCGATTCTGCAATTAAACGTGGGGTAAATGAAATTCAAGCCCCAAATACTCTGGGTAATGTTCCAATTGCTGAGATTACATCATTAGTTTGCCGAATCTTGGAATCAAACGATGTTCTTCACACCTCTAGCGCTGCTGGTCAGATTTCTTCCATTTCTGAGCATTATTTGAGAAAATTGACACCTCCAATGAACTCAGAAGGTCTAAAAACATCAGAAGGGACTATCAATTCGATCGAAAATATTACATTGGATTTTGTGCCAAAATGCACACAAACCGAGGCAGTTGGTACTGCTGTTTCTGGGCAGAATTCTGCATTTTTGACACTGCCATCATCTCCAGAGCATATGAAAACCTTTGGTGAGACCATTGCTCCGGCTGAAAATGATGGGAAATCTGCATTGGGAATTGTGTCAAGTGGCACACATATCGAGGCAAATCCTTCTAATGTTTTTGGACCTCCTTTGATCCCAGGAACTGCACCACTGGCTCCAAATCATGGAAAAACTCCAAGGATCAACACTTTACCGCCTAGTACATCCCAAACTGCGCGTACCATCAACGCGCGAGTCCCTCCTGCACGTAAGCAACCCCCACCACCACGTGCAGCACCACGAGCCACTGCAACTTCCACAACTGCTCATTCTGGTCCAAAATCTTATGCTGCAGCAGTTGGTAATGTGCCAATAGTTTCTCAAGCATAGAGGAGTCAAAAGAAGTCCTTTGCTCAAATTCTTCGAGCATCACAAGAATCTACTGACCACAAGCTCATTTCTAGGGACCCTTTCATCCATCATGGTGAACCTGCAGTTCTATTCACAGAGGCAGATGAAGAAGTCTTGGCTGAGCCATACAAGTTTACTCTTGTTGGCAAATTTGTGCACCGGAGGCCATCTATGCTTAAGGTACATGAAAACTTTTCTCGCTTTGGTTTTTGTGGTGATTATACTATTGGTCTAATTGATGCCACACACATTTTGATTCACTTGGCGCACGAGGATGACTATGCACGGTTATTCCTCAAACCACTGTGGTATATTGATGGTTCCCCTATGAGAGTCTTCAAATGGACTCCAAGCTTTAGTCCACTGCAAGAGACCCCAATTGCTCCAGTCTGGGTATCCTTTCCACTTCTACCTATTCACTTTCGGGCTAAGAGCAGTTTGTATGCTATTGCTAAAGCTATTGGCCTTCCGTTACGTATTGATGAGGCAACATCTGATCTTCGCCGCCCTAGTGAGGCTAGAGTATGTGTGGAGGTTAATTTGGACTACGATCTCCCTGACAGAGTTTGGATTGAGAGGGAAAAGATCGATGGCTATTGGCAACAAGTTATATATGACCAGAAGCCAGAATTTTGTTACAAATGCAGACATTTTGGGCACTTAGAAGTTCAGTGTAAACTTGGCATAAGACCAGCACCACCTCCTGTTGTTGAGCCTATCCCTAAACCTATTATCCCTGCTAAGGATAAGGACAAGGGAAAGGCAATTCAGGGTGAGCCACGTCAGAGGTGGACCCCAGTTCGCAGAGAGCAGAAGAAACAGCAGGCTAGCACATCAGGTGCACATGTTTCCCAAGCAGATCAACCTATTGTAGCCCAGTCAATTGCATCCATAGTAGACACTGCTTCAGTTAATCCTCCAAGAGTGCAGTCAGTAGCTCCAGACAATATTGCTCCTTTGAGTGCCATTACACCAGCCTTGGCTCCATCACAGCCTGTTATTCATGTTGACAGTGATTACACTAACCCCTTGGCTCACGACATGTCTCGGCGAACACATGATTCAGAGGCTACAGATAGAGTTATCAGACAGCTTCCCGGTCCTACACCTGGCCGTACTGGTAATCCTGCCTCCAGCTCTCCACTTGTTTGTCAACAGAACATTGAAGCTTCTATTCCTTCAGTAGAATCTGATCAGTCAGATACTGAAGCTACATCACAGATTGAGGTCCATCAGCAGGGTGTGTTCCGTAGGTCTTCTGCTGAGGATTTACTGGGTATGGCTGGTAGATCAGAGGATGACGGTTTTGTCCGAGTCACAAGAAAGAAACACCCACGTGCTACTGATACTCCACATCCGAGCAGACGGATCACCAGGAGTCAGTCACATGATACCTCTTCACATTCTCCATCCCTATGAGTGCCATCATTTGGAATGTGAGAGGTGTAGCTAGTGTAGCTACTCGTCGGCGCCTGAAGAAACTTATACAGCTTCATCAGGTTTATCTGTTAGTTTTACTGGAGCCCTTTGTTCTACAACACAGCTTTGCATATATTCGACGTTACCTGCGCTTCGATACGGGAGCTCAGAATGAATCGAATAAGATTTGGTTTTTCTGGAACTCGGGGACTAATGTTACTATTATTGTTGATCACCCCCAGTTTCTTCACGTTAAAGTTGAGGACCCCAGACTAGCTCTTCCCATCTATTTTACTCCAGTTTACGCTTCTTGTGATGCTTCTGTCAGGAGGGATTTGTGGGCGGGTCTTCACCACATCTCCCTCGATATGGAGGACCCTTGGATAGTTGGGGGAGACTTTAACGTTATTACTCATGATGGAGAGCGCACGGGTCATAATACTCGTGATCGAGGCACTACGGATTTTTCTGATATGATGTTGGACAGTGGTCTAGAGGATGCAGGTTTCCTTGGGAATCGATACACTTGGACCAATGGGCGGGTCAGGAAGAGATTGGATAGAGTACTCATTAATTCTTCAGCTGCAGCATTTTGTCGACAGCTTACAGTGAAGCACTTGAACAGGACTTCATCTGATTACTCACCTTTACTACTTCAGTGGACTTCTGATGATGACTTGGGGCCTAGGCCTTTCAGATTCCTCAACGTTTGGACCAAGCATCATGATTTTTTAGCATTTGTCTCTCAGAAGTGGTCACTCCCCACTCATTTTGCGGGGATGACTGCTCTTTGGGAGAAATTCTTTAGGATGAAACAGGGATTGCGCTGGTGGAATCGACATGTGTTTGGAGACATTTTCCAGCGAGTGAGGGATGCTGAGGACAAGGTTGATGAGGCAGAAATTGTATTTGACAGTGACCCTACACCGGAACATCGTGACATACTGCATCAGGTTCAGGCAGCTTTGAACCAGACTTTATCTATTGAGGAGGGCTTCTGGAAGCAAAGGGCTGGCTCACGTTGGGTATGTGAAGGAGATCACAATACTCGATACTTCCATGCGATGGTTCAAGGACGCCGTATCAGATCGCGTATTAGGTCCATCAAGACACAGGCAGGGGAAGTCTTAGCTACTCCTGCTGATATTCAGACCTCGGCTATTGATTTCTACCAGGATCTCTTATCTACTCCTCCACAACCTTTGGAACACATCCGTTCTGATGTCATTCCGAGGCTTTTGACGGAGGATGATAATTTGGCACTAAATCGCCCCCCTTTGATTCATGAGGTACGGGAGGCAATTTTCAGTATTGATGCTGACAGTGTCGCTGGCCCGGATGGCTTCTCATCCCTATTCTTCCAGCATTGCTGGGATATTATTCAGGAGGATGTTTACAGGGCGGTATTGGACTTCTTTGATGGTGGTCATCTTCCACGGGGTTTTGCTGCTACTTCTATTGTCTTGCTACCTAAAAAGGATGGTGCTTGCAGATGGACTGAATTCAGGCCAATCAGCTTATGCACAGTGTTCAATAAGATTATTACTAAGCTTTTGAACACTCGGTTGAGTACACTGCTACCGCGCATTATTTCCCCTCCACAGAGTGGTTTCATCCCAGGCCGTCTGATTGGAGATAATGTTTTATTGGCTCAGGAGCTTCTCTACACTTTGGATGATAGAGTGCGAGGGGGAAACACTATGCTGAAGTTAGACATGGCTAAAGCATATGATCGCATGGACTGGGGCTTCATTTATTCTGTATTGGAGGCATTTGGATTTGATCAGATCTGGATTGACAGAATCAGGCGGTGCATTTCGGAGTGTCGTTTCTCCGTACTCCTAAATGGCCGCCCATGTGGCTTTTTTCCCTCCTCACGAGGACTCAGACAGGGTGATCCTATCTCCCCATCCTTGTTCATCATTGCAGCAGACTACTTCTCACGTTTGCTCACTCAGAGGTTTCAAGAGTATCCCAGTATGTGTTATCGACATGGAGGTAGTGCTCTTGTCTCACATCTCTCATTTGCTGACGATATGATCATCTTTGCCAACGGTCAGAAACAGTCTATCAGGAGGGTCTTAGACTGTTTGGAGCATTATGAAGGAGTTTCTGGCCAATTGGTGAATAGAGACAAGAGCGGTATTATACTATCCAGACGGGCATCCACTAGTCAGACCAGACGACTAGAGATTTTGACGGGCTTCAGACATCAACAGCAGCCTTTCACTTATTTGGGTGTACCCTTATTCAAGGGGACTAAGAGGAGCTTCCTTTATGATGACCTTATCTAAAAGATAAGGGATAGGATATCAGGCTGGCCTCACGATTACTATCGCCTGGGGGTCGTATTACATTACTGAAGTCAGTACTTTCTTCCATACCTTTACATCTTCTTCAGATTATGCAGCCGCCCAAGACAGTGCTGAAGAAACTTGAGAGCATCTTTGCCCGATTCCTATGGGACTCTAAGGATCAAGCACGACGTCTACATTGGAGGAGTTGGAAGAAGATTTGCCTTCCTACTAATGAGGGAGGCCTCGGCTTTAGGAGATTACAGGATGTGGTGGACACCGTCTCCATGAAGCTCTGGTGGTTGTTCCGATCTCAGAGGTCACTTTGGGCTCAGTTTTTACTGGGCAAGTATTGTAAGGGGATGCATCCTTCACTTGCAGCAGTTCCCAGTTCAGCTTCCCCTACCTGGAAGAGGCTGAAATCAGTTGGGCCACGGACGGATCCACACATTGCTTGGCACCTTGGAGCCGGTCAGATTTTCTTCTGGCATGATTGTTGGATGGGCGAGACCACGTTGGCATCCCTATTCCCCCACACACAGCACACATCTGCGAGGGTACAGGATTTTTTTGATGACACTGGGTGGGATTTCGGACGGTTATTACAGGCCCTTCCTTCTCACATGGCAAGACAGATAGGGGCGATATCTTTATGTGCAGATGCCCCGGACTGAATTGTTTGGAAAATTACTTCGGATGGTGAATTTACCACCAAATCAGCATGGCAACTAGTCTATTCGGGTCACCAGCCTCAGGACTCATATCGACTGCTGTGGAGCTCTATTTTGCCTGCCACTATTTCATTCTTCTGCTGGAGACTATGGAAGGATCTCATTCCAGTAGATGTTGTTATTCAGAGGAGAATTGGATGTCAGTTGGCTTCTCGTTGTCAGTGTTGTTCCGAGATTGAGACCATCAATCATATTTTCACG